CAGTAGCCATCTTGGTTGCCATGCTTACCTGTTATAAATAATTGAATCAGCATATCAAAAGTAGCTTTGAGCCTTAACATAATAATGAATCATACCTCAGTGTAGTTGTTGTAGCCAAGGAGCTTAGCCTTTTCAAGCCTAAGCTTCAATATTTCATCAATAATTGCTGTATTATTCAGATCACCACTTGAAGCTCGAGTTACATATGCACGGTAGATTTCTTCACGTAAACCACGATTTCTTGCATGTTGCATGACAGACATAAAACTTGGGGCATCCAATGTAATTATCCACGGTCCCTTCTCAGCAGATGCATCTGTATGCCCCTGATACGATAATATATAATAGAAAACAGTTTATTAGACTTGATAAATGAAACCAACTTGCAGTGATAATGACATGCAGTACCTTAGATACTGCAATCTGCGCAGCCAAACCAAGTGAGGTAGCAGGCAATCCTTCTATATCTTTCTTATCTGTTATGATTTTTTCAAACTTCTTTGTGGCATCCAGTACGTTCTCCCCAAATTTTTGGGATAGTCTTTCCAGTTCCTGCAAATTAAACAGTTAATTGAGAAGCAAGCAATGAGCAATGCAAAACTATGACATGCACTGAACAGTAGTTGTCATTTAACTTAAGAGTGTGCTTGGTAGCATATGCACATAACCAAGTGTCCCAGGAAGGAATAGAAGACAGCTCTGTCTTTCAAAAGAAAATTGTTAATATAAAAGCACCTGTTCAATTTTGTTGAACTGCTCTCTTTTATCATCATCAAGAGCAACACCATTAAGAACCCCTTCTTTTATTTGGGCTGTATTCATAAAAATATAAAAGCCATCAGACATGTAAGATAGCTTAGGTGTAATCTCAAATGATCATGTCACAAGAATTAAATAGGAAGCAAGGAAACTGCAAATGATATAGCATTTATTTGGTAAGTGATAACCCTAGCGCACGACAGAGAACATCTGGTCGGTAAGAAGTAATCTGAAATTTGTTGAAGGGTACACTAGTAACTGATGGGGTTCCATGACACCAGCATATCAACAGGATTTCATGAAATATGCAACCATTAAAAGCACTTTCCACATCCATTCAAGTCACAATGACCAATATCAGTGGAAATAAATACGATTAATAAGATTTTATAATTTTTTTTCCTCCCTCCTTCTATGTTTCAAGCTCATATCATTCTCAGCAATCAGCGTAATCCTTGTATGACTATTCAGTGTAGAGGTGCTTGCTGCCATAAAATTGCATCTGGTGGCCTTAGAGGTATAGAAACATCTCCTATCTACCAACAACTGCAAAGATAACACACACCCATTTCTTTTCTTCTCTGATAGGCATGCCCCCAAAGACCAAATAATCAAATAGTTAAAGTTGCATCATTTACAATGATCCAAATATGAAAACCAGATCATGCAAACCTGCCTTGGTCGATGGGAGCTAGTTATCAACTCATTTGATACAAGAGAAAGGCATCACAAAATCATGTAAATGGATGCAGTCCAGGTGCAATGCAACTCCATCCAAACTTAACAAGAACATTGCTACAACATCCAAAACAACCCCTTCAAAGGACTCCTTTCCCTCTTTCAATAAAAGATTATAAGGTAAGGCCTATTCTAGTGGTCCCAACCCCGCCAGTTTAATGCTGCTGACAGTAATCAAGAGTGATCCAGCAACTAAACTTGTTTATGGTCATGACACCAGAAAAATTCAGCAAACCAACGAAACTGGTAGACTGAAGTCACAGGGTAACAAAACCAGACAGCTAGAGAAAAACCAAGAATTAGGTTAACGAAAAACATAAAAGGACATAATAATATTCCAGACAACAAGAGAAGTTTAAGATACTTACATTCCACTATACGTTTCCGAGCATCACTTAGTGATGGCCATTGAGGAGAATCTTGGATGGCCTTAAATGCATTATATATAGGTTTACTTTGTCCCAGCCTTAGCTGAAATTTCACCTTTTCGGGCTGTAGACAAAAGCTAAAAGCTGTGAGCACAAAGGGGCAATGCAGCGCACAAATTCACAAGAAGGGCGATAAACAAATTAATGCAGAATTAAAACGAACTTTTAATCAAAGAAAAATTTTGAATCATATATTAGAATTCAAGTGCATAGAGCATGAGAAGATAACAGTTTACCTGAACTTCTTCGATAGCAGCGCGGAGTTCAGGTGAGTCTTTAACAGCCTTAAGATGATTTATCATACCCCAAACAACAGTCAACTGATCTACAATCTTCTCCAATGGCTCTACCAATTTTGGCCATGATGGCTCCACTGTTCTCTCCAATTCCTCCAAATCACTCTCCTACAAAAACATCAGCAAGAACCATCACAGACCAAAACGATCAAACTTTGATCAACCCATAAACTGGAACTAACAAAAGATTTCTACTTGGGAGCACAAAGACCAGAATACAAAAAGTTAGCAAGGAATAATTAAAGCAAACCCAGAAACGAAAACGTCAAGAACAATAACATATAAAGACAAGAACATACGAGGTTCTTTAGGAGAGCACGAATCCCAGGTCGAACATGTTTGGCCTCAACAACATCAAAAGGAGGGAATTCAAAGTCTTGCAGTAAAGGATTGGCCTCATCAGCAACAGGGTCCATTGAAATTGAAGAGTAGCAGTTAGAGATAGAGGGAGGGGTTGTTGCTGTTGTGGTTGATGATTTGTGAAGTGTTTGGAGGCACAAGGAGAAGGACGAAGACCAGAGAGGGCAAGGATAAGATTTGGGAAAACGTTTGGGGGTAAAATGGGAATAAGGGAAGTGGTTGTTTGTGCGTTGGAGGAGCAGGATGGAGCGGGAGAGAGAGATACGTGAAGCCATGAGAAGGTTGATTATAAGGAGAACAGCTCCTGCTGGATGTAATTTTCTAGTCTCTGCCATGTGTTGTATTGTGTGGAGAGTACTAATAGTTTTGTCGTTTTTATTTTCATTTTCCCTCTTGTGGTGTGTGGGCATACTAGAATTGTCTTGAGCCTAAGAAAATGATGTATACAGTAATAAAACTCGACCTGTCTTGAGCCTCCGATATGTCAACTTAGCGATTCATTCATCTGGAATTTGGCACAGGCCAAATTCCATTTCAAACTAGGTTTTTATCAAAATGATGTCTTTTGGATTTCTTTGTAAATTGAAATGACTTTATTTTGGTAAAAAAATTGAATTGATTCACCCATTCATGAGTTGACCTAACATCTTGCATGTTGACTAGCTGTTTTATTATCCAAATCTTAAATCAGATCAAATCTTGTACTGTGTGTGTTGTATGCATATTTGGGGCTAGGTTCTTAATTGGGTCGAGCCCGATGATAGGCTTAAAGCCTTGCCAAGTTTATGAACTAAAAGGTTGTCCAAGCTAGTTGTCGAGCTCCTCTGCACCCAAAAAAAAAAAAAAAAAAAAATTCTCTGACTGTTTAAATTTTTTTGACGCAATAGATCATCGGTGTTGAAATGACAATCTGCATTATGGTGCAGGATATTTTTAATTTAAAAAATATATTAAAATAAATTTTTTAATTTTTGATATTAATACCTCAAACCCATAAAAATATACTATAATTAATTTAATATTTTTTTCAAATAAAACACCCTTTAAAAAAAAAAAAAAAGTTACGACAGACTCTCACACTCACGAGCTCTACACTGCTCCGGAAAGCAGCCGCTGGAGAAGAAACCAGCCACCCTAAACAAATACTCGAGAATCTCTTAAAAAACTAAATAATCAATTAAATTAAATCAAAAAAACTAAAAAAAATTAATTAAAAAATTCAAATAAAAAAACTGAATTAATTAATTAAAAAATCAGAAAACATTTTCAATATAGTTTGATTTTAGTTTTTAAAATCTAAAACTAATTAAACCAAACCTAGTTCAACTAGATTAGCACTTGAAAAAAAAAACATATTTTTTTCTAATCTTAAACTTAAATGCATTCCCAGCCGCTCTCTCTTTCTGTCTTATCTCTCATCTCTCAAATATATCTTTTTCTTCTTTATGCATTCTCAATTATGTGTCAATTTGGGTCTCTCTCTCTTCTCTAAAGGACATGTAATGGATTCTTTTGGGTTTTTGAATTTTGCTGATTCTTATCCAATCTTTCTAACTATTTCACTTTTATTGCATGTGTTCTTCTTCTTTTTTATTTAGTTGGCTCATATTGATGGATGATAATGTAGCTTTTGGTGATTTGAATTTTGGGTTTGCTACGTAATGATTTTTTTTAAGCATTCTTTTTTAATTAAGGACTTTGCTTTGTTAATCTGCCTTTTAAATTGAAGATAATGATGCCCTTTTTCACAACGTTTAGTTTCATTATCTCTTTAGTCTTATTCTGGTGTTTTACTTAATTTGTCAACACATTTTCCCGTTCCAACTACACATGTCATTTGTTTTCTGATGCGTATTAGTAAACCTAATAAGGCTAGTTAATCTATTATTTTATCACAGTCATTACGGCATGAATTAATAATGTCTACGGAGTTGAATAATCTAACCCCAATGATACAATTTTTTAAGTTAAAGTGCTTTAGTTCAGTTTAAAAAATAAAAGTGTTAAAAAATATGGTTAATAAAAAGCTAAAAAAAAAACTGAACTGAAATAAATTTAATTTGAATTAGTTTGAAAAGAAAAAAACTAAATCAAAATTAATTGATTTGAATATATTTTCAATTTGATTTAGTTTAAAAACTTTTAAAAAATAATTTTAATTTAATTATTTATTTTAATTTAAAATCAAACCAAATCAAATGAGAAATGTTTATTTCTTTATTTTATTTTGAGACGCAGAGAGGGGCCGGAGCCTCCCTCGTAAAATGAAAATCCGGCTGATTGAGCATGTATAATCCGACACAAATAATTACTCTTTGGATAAGTATAAATAAGTAAACAAATAAAAATCTAAAAATACATTTGAATTATTGAATTAGCAAAACATCCAAGAAAAAACACAATGCCGAGTATTAAAAACAAATGACGAAAAAAAGCGCATCTGTAAAATCATTCTACACTCGGACCCGTTTCTGGAGGCCCTTCTAAACGAATGTAATCATACATAATTCCTCCAACAGGGGATTTGCTTCTTGACTGAGTGAGATATACAGTGTTGTTTCCTTGGCGAAGCAGACGGCTTGGCACGTTAATGCTATAAAACCAGTACAGACCATGAATTCCATGCCGCGCAATTGCATTGTCCCTTCCTATTAGCCTTGTTCTGAAATGAGGTCGTTTGGCTCTTCTGTCATTGAGCCGAACCTATGATCACATATTAACACACTTCCATAAGTCATCACCAATCGACTTATTTTACGCTGTTCCTAATCCACAATTCCTCGACGATCGATGACATTAGAGGCTTGCGATATGCTGATCTTTCAATCATGGATAACTGATGGATCCTATTTGAATATCAAGGGCAGCGTCGGTACCTGTAGTTCAGAAGCGGAGGCTGATGCCAAGGCCACTTGGAGCGTATAGTTTCCAGTCCTCGGGGTGGCATTTTCTATCTCGAATTTGATCTGCCATGTTGTGGCTTGATATGTGTGATTTCCCATGTTCCTGAGCAATGCAGCAATATAATTGGAACCTGCTGCTGCTCATCATGCCTGTTAATTATTTATGGGCTAGAAGAAGCACAAAGGGATGAGCGATGGGTACCTGGGAACCTGAGCAAAGAACCAATCTTGATGATAATTACTGATGCCAGTAGTGTAAATAAGGTCATGCTTAGGATACAAATCTGAGTACCTTTCCCACAGTCCATACTGCCTAAACCTGTCCATTAAAAGTATTTAATGTAAGCAAGAAATGCTCCCAGACCATACTTTTGTAAGCTTATAAAAGGAAGATGTGAAATTTTTGATGACATGAATTCTAATATCAGGCACTTTATCCGGTGACTGCTACAGTTAATCGGAATATTCCATCGTTTGTTTTTTTTCTAATTTTCTGTTATGTGTTAATTGAAATATTTTAATGAGATGATAATCCGGTGACTGCTACAGTTAATCGGAATATTTTAATGAGATTAATCCAAGTGGTAACACAATATTTTTTTTCTTAAAAAAAAAAAGACAGTGCAATCAAATATAATAACATCAAACAAAACTGGATATCTTATTATAATAATTCTTTTTAATGGGAAATAAAATAAATGTGACAGCCCAAGCAATGGTCACTTAAAGTGACGGAAGAAAAAGCTGTACTTGTGAGTTGATTGGTTGATGAACAATTTGTTCATGAGCGTCGGGTATGTGTCGGGCACAAAGAATTCGGCAGCAGTGCGGTCAGGGATTCCTATTTGCCAAAGGGTTGGACCATTTCTTGGAGGCTCGTACACAAGAACACCCAATTGGACATCACATCCTGCATTTGAGGATTCAAGACAAGCTGCTAGTCTTTATTACCATACCAAAATAATCAAAATGAAATAAAAGACAAGTTTTTGCTATGGAAGAAACATACTGTTAAATCTAAGAGGAATTGACTGGAAAATTTAATGTTCAGAATTAGATAAAGTATTGATTTATTAAAAAAAAAAATTTGATTTACCTGGTTGGATGTGGATAATAACATCATATCGGCAATCCCCAACAATGCCGGGAACCCAGGCATACAGATTATAGTGCCCAGCTCTAATGTTTTCTATTAAGAAATGACCCTCCTCATTGGCTTGAACCCAGAATTGATACCCCTGAGAACGATCAAAGAGAAAGAAAAACCGAAGCCTTCAAGAAAATCTCCCTTCAATATTTAACTAAATCATCGTATACTCAAACAGAATTTCAGTGAATTTAACCATGGCGTCTCTTTGCCACGAACCCACCCCTCCTGGTGCAGCCAAGCCCACATAGGCATAGCTCGCCCACATTGGTTTGTCGCTGATGTACCTAAATAATGAGCTGTCATTAAATTACTGTATCATTTTATTTTTTTATATACACACATTATAGAGTATGCATTATTCACTCGAAAAAATAGCATTTAGAAATCTGTACTGTACAAGTAGCTAGATAGGCCATTACCTGTCACCAACAAGTAATTGACCAGAAACAGTTCCTCGTCGATCTGAGCTAGGGAAATCTTCTGACTGTGGGAAATTGTAAGGCCAGCTGTTGACTTCTATAGACATCTGATACATATTTGAAGCATACAGATGAATGTAATATATATCAGAAGGGTGAGATTGATGACGTTGAAGAAGTGGAGGGTTAGATGTCATTGCTAGTGAACTTGCTGAAATGTTAATCATACCTGATCTTTAGCATCTTCCCATAGTGTTTTGGGATCTTCAAGGGAGGAGATGGAATTGAGATAGACAAATACAGGTCCCAGAACCTTTTTCCATGGCCTTCCGTTTCGATATTTTGTGTTCAAGTCCTTCCCACTGTAATGAGTGCTGGTAAACATCTGTAAATTATTCAATTTAGGTCGGTTTAACACTACACTTTAGTCTCTTCATTTTAGTCCTCATAGTTCTTTGAATTATTAATTTAAACATCATAATTCAAACAAAAAACAAATTCATTTCAATTTTTAGGAACAGCAAACTCACACAGAGGACGGTGGGGCCAACATGAGATGTGAGGTCTTGTTTCAGGGGGCCGCCAGCCCGGAACTCATCACTTGGTGTGATCATCCAAAATCCCACCTGTGGATTTTCCGATATCCAACCATGTACCCTGTTGTCTTTGTTCTCACATGAATATTGGTACTTGTCGTCCACCTTCCAAGTTCCCAGCAATCAACATTAAACAAGAAAAAAAACTGTCACCGTAATATTTGCTGCAAAAAATAGAAGAAAGAAGGATCCAGTAGCTCGATCACTAAGTAATTAGTTTAAAGAAGTACCTCTCCTCCAAGCTGTCGAGTAGTTGGATTGGTCAGGAGAACAGCTTCTGGATATGCAAGAGGTTCACCACTGATTCTGTCTCGAGGCATTGGCATGATCCTTTGCCTGTCGTCAGATATTGCCATGAAGTGAAACCTGACAATTAATGGATTAATTTTAGATGCAATAAACATGTGCTGCTAATCTGTCAATTCTCCATAATCTGAACACAAAAATATATACTTGTCATTTTGGAGCTTCAAAACGATTCTAATTTGATCCATGTCCATGTCAGGCCATCCCTCCAGGCGTTCAAATATGGCATACAAGTAGACCCCTGAGCTGCCCCGTCGCATTATATACCTAAAATGTTGAAAATATATTAACATTAATACCTAAAAAATATGCATATTGTTCATGTTACGCAGCATATAATAGTAAATTTATGATCATTATTTTTAAATATTATCAAATTTTAGGTCTATTATACTCTTAAAACCAACACAATAAATAGCTTCATGTATTTAACAAGAAATAAAATTGTATGGAGCATGAAATTAAATTATTTCATGCAAAAATTAAGGAGTATAAAACAATAACAAATTTTGGGTTAACTACAAGAACAATTGATACATTTTGCCACTCACAATGTTATTGTATTAATTCCAAGTACTACAGTTGATATCTGAAGTTTCTTGCTATTTAAAATCCATTCATAAAATTTATTTGCAAGTTTATTATGTCTTTAGTAGTCATTTTGTTGCTCTAATTAATATTTTCAATAAGTAGGTCATAATTGCCGCTGTATAAAACAATATATTTTTAACATTTTTTTTTTATATAAAAAAACTAAGGGCCCGTTAGTTTGATCTCCAGTGAGTTTACTCTACTGGGATTGATGGTGGGATTTCTGAAATGGACTATACACAACTTTGAGAAGTCATTTCCCTTTTTCTTTTTTTTCCAATCAAATGTGAAAAAGAACTTGAACCAATTACGAAAGACAGATAAATATAATTCTAGACACTTGAAAATTGTCTGCAAACTGTATTTGTCTCTTAGGTTTTGCATGAAATATTACCTTTTGTCTACGTTCAGGGGGGCTGAGGAGTTCCCATTTGTGAAATTCCAAGACTTCTTGAATGAGAGTTCTACCTGGTCTTCATCTTCCATTATAACGTTAAAATCTGTTCCTTTCAATCTTCGGAGTAGTGATAAATTATAGAGGTTTCATGACAAACATAAATGTATAATCAATTTACAATACACTTAAATATTTACAATAACTTTATTTTACATGATATAAGTTGTGGAAACTACAATGTACCTGTCGTAAGCTATATGATTTCCAGGCGAGTTCCAGACAACGTCCCAATACCTTTACTCAAATCAATTTTCGCAATGAGATGGATGTAAAATTAGTACATGATGATCATTACAACATTTGATGTGATTAGAAGCAAGTGTAAATGCCGTACCCTCGGTTGCCTTCCCTGTTCCTGGTTTCAAGTACATTATGGATTCCGTTGTACTGTATTCCGGTGATATCACCGCCCGGACTAGACAAAGTGACTTGTACGAGGCCATTATCCATCACCATCTGAAAGGTACTGTAACTTCAGTAATTAAAAGCATATGAAAAGATATAGGATGATGGCTGTGCCAAATCTAAATAGACAATATTTAAAACTTATTTTTACTAAGAAAAAAGTTTTAATAATGATTTAATTAATTATTTATTTATTTTAATATGACTTAATTGCAAAATAGTTGTAAGACATGTTATGCAGATTGAACTAGAAAATGGTGTAGATCACCTGAGAAATTTGGGTCAATTATTTTCTTTTTCTATTAAAATGATATCTAATTGTATTTTTTTTTTAAATATTCATGGTGTTGACTTGATAAATTCTAGATTGAGTTTGAGTTAATATTTTTTAAGTTCAACTTGAAATGAGGTTTTGAGTCGCGAATTTTTTGAATCAATTTGCTGAGTCGGGTGAAATTTAACCCTATTTATAAAACTTACTTGGCTGATCAACCTCGTGATTCAAGGGCTGATTCGGGTTGAGTAAGTGGAAAAACCTAGGTTTTTTTTATTAAAATAAAAAAAAATAAAACAAAGCTTGGGTAGATCTCCATTAACCAGTATTGATCCTTGGATTAGAATGCATGATTTTACAGCTAGTCTACAATGATGAAATCAGAAAATATCAATATCAACTATATCATTCAATTTGAATAGATAATGGTTTAGATTTATACGGTGATCAGTGCATGTTACCATACATACCCGATGATGATGCTTATGCAGCCGCACCCCAAGAGATTTACCGTTTTCACTCTGGAAAATTTTCCTGCAATTGGATAAAAGATGTTACTGCAACGCAGGGATTCTTTACATGAATCAGACTCAAAATGATTTTAATATGTTCTTGACCATGTTGATACAAAAACAAAATCATGCAAATGCAAGTAATCGATGACGTACGAAGGCGCATTCTCTGTAGATAAATTTTGGAGGGAGTTGCAGAAGAAACGATCATTTTATTATGCTTGAAAATTCATCATGTTTGCAGGGGCAGGAGAAGGGTACAAAATTAATTCTCAGTTTTTCTTCAGAATAAAATGTTGAGAAACATTTTCTCCTCTCTTAAGAGCATGAAATGAGAAAATAAAATAAAATTAAAGCTCATCTGTTTCAAGGCAGTGCCTAGCTCCATCCATGTGAAATGTGAAGAAAGGTAAGGGAAAGGGACATGGAGTAAAATGTTCCAACAAAAGCGCAGTAAAGTAACACTGAAAAGGAAGAATATGATCATGTGGGATCATATATACCTTGAGGCAGCGGCGAGCTTGACAATGAAGAAGAACCAAATCAACAATGTTAACCACCTCAAACGAGAAGCACCGACTTTGTCCATTTTTGATGAATAAATGACACAAAGCAAGTTAACTGCATGAAGCCAAAAAAGGGACTCTTCCAACACAATTAAAAAAGCAAGAAATAAAATACTAAGAAACCAAAAACTTGCACACGCAAAAAACAAAAAAAAAAAAAAATGAAATACCTTGCTCAATGGCAATATATTCCAGAGGCTGTTCTTGAATGCACAACGACCCTTAATTCTCTTGGAAAAAACGTTCAGATGCAATGCTTAGTGAAAGGCCTTGTAATGGCAGACCGGGAAAAAAGAGAAAGATTTCCATTTCATTGCTCTTTTCACAGTTTTCCTTGCAGCAGATTTCCTCAATCTCTTATATATAGCAGATCATCGAGGGACTAGAGTGCTCCTCTATGCAAGAGATTGACAGAATTGCCATAAAAATATATAGCAGATCATTGAGGGACCTGAGTGCTCCTGCAAGCGAGAGATTGACAGAATTGATATATTTTGTAGATGTTGATTGAAAATGAAAGTTATAGTTCAAAGATTGGGTTCAGTTTAGTTTTTGTGGTTTTGGATCTTACATCTAGAGGGTGGTGTGTGCTGCTAAAGGTGTTCTTCCTACATCTAGACAATGGTATGTGCTCTGCCTTAGGTGTAATTTTGTGTTTCGATGGACAAGATTGAAAACAATTAGTATGCCATTATGGTGCCCTCTTTGGTGCTTTCTGGCCCTGCCCAAGGCAATGAATTTTCCCTTCTTAGAGATAATAAGAGCCATTTGTTGCGTTAAGTTAATTTCGGACATTAGAATTAAAAAAATAATTATAAATTAGTTATCTAATAAAGTGGTTTTCCTATACTAAACCATGCTTTTGATTTGTGAAAAAAAAAATTATTATCTATGTTTTTATTTTTTCAACCAAATATTTAATTTTTTTTGTTTTTGTCTTCAAATACTAACCTAACACTACCTAGAGTCATCCTTGTGGATTACTTAGAGAGTCTTGTTATTTATTATTTATTTTTTAAACTTGGTTTAATTGATAGAAGTTAATTAACTAATAACCAAACAATATAGTTTTGTTGTTTTAAATCTATAAATTAGACGAATTATTAAATAAAGCATAACACATACCAAATTTGTTTTTCTACCTTTAAAGAATTGTATGATTTTATTGCGTTGTCTCAAGTCTATAAATAAGATAAATCATTATTTATGTATTTTATGTATATGTTTTCAACGAGCTAGTTCATGGACATTATTTTTCAATTTATATTTTGTTTATTTTTAATTATGTTTTATTTTATACACGCACATTCAATGCCTGAGAGTATAAACGAATCCTTTTCCTCAAATCTAGATCCCTTATGAAAGGCTCTTTAAAGCAACCGATGGATTTTCTACAACCAACTTGATTGGAGATGGTAGTTTTAGCACTCTGTACAAAGGAAACATTGATGAAGATGGAACACTAGCTAGTTGCAATCAAAGTTCTTAACCTGCAACGTCGTGGAGCGTCTGAGAGTTTCATATATGAATGTGGAGCCTTGAGAAACATTCGGCATCGAAATCTGGTGAGGATCATAACTTCTTGCTCAAGCATTGATTTTCGAGGTATTAATTTTGAAGCTAAAGGGAGTCTGGAGAAATGGTTGCATCCTCCTCAAGAAACACATCATGAGATGATCAGCTGATCAGTGAGATTCAGCATCCAAACCTTCTTGAGAGGATCAACATTGCCAGCAATGTGGCTACTGCACTCGACTATCTTCATCACCATTGCTACAACCCAGCCATTCATTGTGATGTAAAACCAAGTAATATTCTTCTTGATACAGACATGATAGGCCATCTTGGAATACAGTCTTGAAAGCAACCCGGTTGGAATAAAGGGAACTATTGGATATGCTGCCCCAGGTAACAATTGTTCATTTCCTTTGCTCATATTCCTCTTAACATTGCCAACATCTTAATTGAATAATTCACTAAATACTTTGTTCGATCATAACATTTTATTGTAACAACTTCATCTCCTGGTATATCTGTCATGTAAAAAGAAAATAAAATAAGATTATCAGCTATATTTACATGTATCTGGACTTTCTTGAGTGACAGAACATGGCCAAGGAAGAGAGTTGTCAATAGATGGAGATGTCTACAGTTATGGGATCCTATTGTTGGAGATGATAACAGGGAAGAGACCAATCGATGACACATTTGAGAAAGGCCTTAATTAATCTTCACATGTTTGCCAAGATGGGCCCTGCCCGACCATGTTATGGTGATAGGTCCCAATCAAAACTATGGAGTTTTTTTTAACAGAGAGATTATTCTCTCAGGGTAAGAACAAAGCAAATACATGCTGGAATAATAATGCTGCCCTCTTTATTCTGATGCATGATTTATATACAAGCCAAGTTTGTCACTACAGAACAGAAATTAAAGGGCCTGCTAGTCTCCCAACAAAGCCTAACGCTTATCCACTAACAGAAGCTAATCATCAAGCATACAAGCAACCTTAGCCTTCCCCACGTTAGAAATCTAAATCCTGATACTTGGGTTCTGTTTTGGCACCCTCCTTGATCTCAACGGCCTCTTCTTATCATATGGAGCTAGATTACAGACCCAAATCCAAATCTGTAATCTTTTTCCTTATGATCAAGCTGCTACTGTAAATTCGAAACTGGTTAGGATACTTGCATGACTTAAGAACCTTGGAGAAGGAAGAGAAGAAAGAGGATCGAAAATCTGTTACGTATAAATGGCTAGTAGAACCTGACATAAGATAATTTATCAGAAGTTCGAAAAAAAGCCGAAGCATCGTGCTAAGAATCTAAAGGTCCAACACCTCTGCAGGAAGATTAATAAAATTGAGACCCGCATGTAAGCGTTCTTCCAAGAAGGCGGATGTTTATCCATTGGAAACGATCCTTCCTCTCGGACTGGCCTGAAAGAACCGCCAATATCAGTGTCGATTTAGTTTGTCTTGTATACAGGCAATAAGTTTTAAACTTTAGGCCCGATGGATTGATGATCAACGTTACTGGTCAGAGATACATATACAACGGAGGAAATAATATGCTGACACTCCAAACATAATGAAATGTCAAAGTATCATAGCATCCTCAGATTATATAGTAATTAAGAGCGATGATTTTAGTGTTGCATCGAAATATAAGTGATGGTAAGGAGGGTTTATGGAGAAAATCATAGTTCGAAAACAAAGAAAAACTTGGGTTATCGTTTGCTTAACAGTTTGTTTTGCTGCAGAATGTCTGTGCCATTATATTCTGACCCTGCTTTGGGTTCTGCTGCTTTGGCATACCTTGAATTTGCCAAGCTGATGCGAAACTTGTTGACACAAGGTCGCATGTCTTCAATTCTTTAAATTAGCCTGAATCCAAATTTGTAATATTTTATCCTATGATCCAACTTCAAAATGTAAATTCGGATACTTGTATGACTCAAAAACCCCGGAGAATGGAGAGAAGATGTCAAGTCTTTAAATTATCATTGATTCCTCTTCTCTAACAAATGTAATATTTCCACCAGTTTCAAAGTTGATTGTATAGTCAACGATGCACAAGATGTCACCATTTTTCTCATGATTGGGAAAACTGCTAAAATCTTCTCTGGCTCTTCAGCTCACCATTATGGTTTCAACAAGGGCTATAACAACCTGTACAAAGTGCCTCCTCCCAAGATTGAAGAGTTAAAACCAATTCAAAATATTCCACATTTGCTTCAGGGTGTAAAGGTTCACTAATGAAACCGGTGTAACCTTTTGGTCAGCAACGTGTTTGATGACGATCCTCAAATGAAGCAAATTCAGCAGCCTCAACACGCATCGATCGAGCTTTTTCTGCCCCAGCTAAGCGACAAAACCACCTCTTTTAGCCAAAGAAATCAATCGCCAAACGACCATGTAACTAGCAAACTAGGAGCAGCAGCCCATCATCGCACTGGACGCTCTGAAAACTGCGGTCCATTCAACTTCATGTAATCTAAAGCAAAGTAGCTTTCTGGACACAAAAGGAAAGTTGGTCTTTCCTTCATGTTCCGAACTACCAAGTCGGCCATTTTTTGCTTTCAAAACTGTCACTTTCAATGGCCATATTTCGGAACTGTCACTAAGCTTTTGTTACGTGCACAGCCAGTTTTAAACAGCAGGTTGGGACGACTCAATCCTCTGCCTCCAAATACAAATAACAAAAGAAAATACAATTTCCAATACTTATAAGTGAGTTAATCAATAAATATTGGGATGTTCTTAATATTTATGTCTTTAGTCTTCAATAATTGATATAAAGCTTAGGTTAATTGCGATAGAAGATAGAAAAACGGAGCAGCCTTTTCTCCCTTCGACAATTAAAAACACAGCAGTGTTTTTGGCAACGGTAGACGAGTACAGCAGCAGCTTGAATCTCAGACCAACCAGAAACAGTTTTTTCTTCGTGGCAGTAACTTGGACTAGCAGACAGCAACAGCAGTTAGAATTGACACGTTAACAGCAGTAGCAAGTTTTCTTTTTCAAAATCATTTGGTATCAAAGTTTTGAATGAAGAATTCCTTATAGAATTGGCGGTGAAATAAAATAAGTAACAGCAGCTTCCAATAGCAATTGTTAGATAAGTAAGGTGACGAAAGCGCGTTTTAGCAAAGCCAGTGAGAAACGTAGCGAATCAACAACAACAGAAAAAGAAAGCAGCTTTAGTATCCAATAATGGTAGAAAAGAGTCTCCAGTAAAATTATCATGACTTCCGGTAATTTTGTTCAACCAGCCATGATCATTGCATCATGCTAATAGAAAGATTGAAGGGGTACTAGCAAATTGTTAATTTCTCAAGAAATATTTTAACCACCATCCGGATCAATAATAATAGATATGCAAAGATAAGAGATAGAAGCACAACCATTGAAAGATTTTAAAACAAAATTATCTATTCCAATCAATTTTGAAAACTACTTTTTTTTTTTTTTTTTTGTAAGGAAACCTCCAAAAGAAGCACCCAGGAACAACTAAAGTAAAAAATCAATAACTTCAAATACTTAGAATAAAATCTGAATTACTTAGGATAAATATGGTGAATCAGTCATAAATTATTTTTCATGAACGAGGCAATCATTAACAAGATGTGAATCCATGATATAAAACAGACGATATTACTATCATTGAAAAAAATCTTTAATTGTTGACACCAAAATTCAATTTTGTTGTGTGTTCAATAGAAGAAACTAAGAATATTAATGAATTTTTTATTGATGAATTGCAAAGTTCTTTGCTCATCAATGAGCAAAAGTTGAATTATTTACTAGTTTTATTCATAGTTTTAAAACCCGGCCCGGCC